ATTTACAGTAGAAGTGATTAATTACCTTTACTAAGCAAAACTTGTTGGTTTGTTTCAGGCAGGTCTATAACTGTATTATCACATAAGTTTGAACTGTTATCCTTCACAAATCCACAGCATAAATTTGGCTAGGGAGTCCTATGGCTTCTCTCAGGTGCATGTTAAAACATGTACCACAGGGGTAAAACTTTTCAGTATTCCTGTTTACTCAACCACTGCAAAGCCCCATATATTCATATCCCAGGATTTCACTAAAAAAATGACTATGTCCTCAAGTCACAAACACACAAAAATGCACCACTGCATTTAGATTAATATTAAGCTACAATGAATAGGTTACGCTTACGATCTTTCACCCTTTGTTTATTCATTGCTCCTATCAGTGACTCATTCCTCCCACAGGAAAATCAGCAGAAGGGCACCCAGAGGAAGGTTTTGGAATTATTCCTTAAATTTTCCCCCCAGCCTCCTCCCCATCCACTCCAACTCCATCCAGTGTAGTTCTAGCTCTACCACAGCACGTGCAACAGGAGCAGCAGCAGATACGAATGGATCACCGGGACTTGGAGCTACTCCTTCCATCTCTTTTCTGGCTGGTGGTGAAATGCTCTGGGCTTTCTACCCCTGTAAGAGGAGCTGTATGACAGAAAGTCTTTTTGTCAGATCTAACAATGGTGGCAGCTGTTAGCACAGCATCATCATTTCCACAGTCCTACCTTGCTTTACTAAGACTTTGCAGAAGACTAGAAGAGAAAAAACACACACATGTCCTTCCCTTGCTGCTGGTCCCTTTCCTGCACGGGCCAGACGCAGTTAGGGCTCTCTGCGGTATTTAAAGTTTAGCGCTATGAAGGGGGCATGCATTTAAGAGAAGGGTAGTACACTACGGGAGATCTTATGTCATATTTAGGTATATTCACTGCAGAATAAAGACTGCATGTATTTCAAAAGTGCCCCATGTCAACGGAAACATTGCAGGGAGGAGCTGTTAGCTTTATACCCGTACTACTTTGGTTTACTTTCCAGTATACTGGGAGAAGCTGGAAGAGAAACTAAGTCCGCTGCTTGCAGCTGCTGAATGCATTCTTGTAATATAAATGTGCATGAATTTAAATGGGAGAATGAAGAATTAGTATCATGATTTGTCATTTTGTGAGTGAATGTCCTTTTGTGAGCGGGAAATGGCCTTTAAGTTAACTAACAGGAGACCAGAAACTTTTTGCAGTCAAGATTACCCATTCACAGGGCCTGGATTGCCAAAGGGGCAACAGAAGAGGCATTCCCAGGAATTACCATTCCACAGCCCAGTACAGCAATTTTTGGAAATTACACAAAAGTAATCCACCCCAGAAAGACTTAGGTTGACTTTCACATTGCTTAAGTAAACCTCCAGTTTGCGGATGTAAAAGTAGGTGCTCATCACTTCAGTCAAACATGCCCCCTATTCCCTCCCCATTTGTACTAGCGTTGCTTCAAAGCCAACAGTGTGGGATATAAACCAAGTCAACTGCATGTAGGGAACGAGGAAAACAAAAAACACCACAGTTGGGGAATGAGGAAGAAATATGTCAAATATCATGGCTTTGTCTGTTCTCTATAAAATATATTCCCTATCTTATCAATGTGCCCCAAAGCTCATTTTTTATAAATGCATATCAAGCACGTAATGGAGCAGTGGCCCTATATCAATACGCAATTTTAATAGTAATTATTTGGTTGTCCAAGACAATGTGCTGAATATGTATATGAATATACACACATGATTTGTTAGTGTAGAACAAGCCATTAAAAATGGCTGAACGCACCTTGGCATTTTAAGTGCCACTCTCTTATAGAATAGAATATTTTCAGTTGGAAGGGACCTACAAGTATCATCTGGTCCAACTGCCTGACCAATTAATGGCTGACCAAAAGTTAAAAGCCTGTTGTTAAGGGCATTGCCCAAATGCCCCTTCAACACTGACAGGCTTGGGGCATCGACCAGCTCTCCAGGAAGCCTCTTCCAGTCTTTGACCACCCTCTCAGTAAAGAAATGCTTCCTAATGTCCAGTCTAAACCTCCCTTGGTGCAGCTTTGAGCCATTCCCACGCATCCCATCACTGGATACCAGGAAGAAGAGCTCAGCACCTCCCCCTCCGCTTCCCCTTGTCAGGAAGCTGTAGAGCACGATGAGGTCGCCTCTCGGTCTCCTTTTCTCCAAACTAGACAAGCCCAAAGTCCTCAGCCACTGCTCACAGGACCTTGCACCAGCTTTGTTGCCCTTCTCTGGATGTATTTGAGGACCTTCACATCCTTCTTAAACTGTGGGGCCCAGAGCTGCAGACAGCACTCAAGGTGAGGGGCCACCAATGCTGAGTACCAGTGCTGAGTGGAAAAAATCCTCTTCTGCCCGGCTGGCTGTGCTGTGTTTGATGCCCCCCTGGGTGTGGTTTGCCCTCCTGGCTGCCAGGGCTCACTGCTGGCTCACACTGAGCCTGCTGCCGACCTGCAGCCCCAGGTCCTTTTCTGCAGGGCTGCTCTCCAGCCACTCCTCCTCCAATTTATACTTGTGCCAAGCACTACTCCATCCTAGGTTCAGAATCCAACATTTGGACTTGTTAAATTTCATCCCATTAATATTACCCAATGCTCCAGTCTATCTGGATCCCTCTGCAAGGCATCCTGTCCCTCAAGAGGCAACAGCACCTCCCAGTTCGGTATCACCTGCAGACTTGGTAATGGTGCATTCAACTCCTGCATCCAGATAATCGATAAATATATTGAACAGGACCGGCCCTAGAATTGAACACTGAGGGACACCGCTGGTGACCGGTCCCCAGCCAGATGCAGCCCCATTCACTACAACTCCCTGAGCTCTGTCCTTCAGCCAGTTCTTCACCCAGCACACTGTGACCCTCCTCATTTCTCAGCTGGACAACTTGTCTGGAAGGATGCTGTGGGGGACTATCAAAAGCCTTACTAAAATCCAGAGAAAAACACATCCACTGCCCTCCCTTCATCTGCTACGCAGGTGACCTTATCACAGAGGGATATTGAATTAGTTAAACAGGACGTTCCCGTTGTGAACCAACACTGACTGTGCCTGATGATTGCATTATTCTGTAAATGCCTTTCAGTGGCACCTGGTATAATCTGCTCCATAATTTTTCCAGGATCTGAGGTTAGACTGAGCAGGCTGGGGGTGGGTGGGAGGG